TATATTGAAAGGATGTGTATATATTATTACGGAAAATAGCATTTTTCCCCTTGAATTATTTAAGTGGCTGTTTTTTCTCCTAAAATGTTAAATGGACATATTTACCCTTAAAATAAATATTTCATTTATTTTTCTTCTCCAACAAATTATGACCACAATTTGGTTCAAACCAAACAGACACTATAGAAACCAAACCGAAATATTCCGATTACAATTAGAATCGAAACCCGATATTTAGAGTTTATTAAAATCGCAAATCGGAACGGCCAGTTCATGTTCCGAACTGAAAAAAAAAATAAAAAAAAAAATATATATATATATATATATATATATATATATATATATATATATATATATATTTATTGTTGAATTTAGACTATTTTAAAATAAAAAAAAAATAAAATTTTAAAATAAAGACGGTTCAAAATCGCGAACCGGATCCAGAACCGCCGATTCACGGTTCAGGATCCAGTTTTTTCGATTCATAATTATAATAAACTGAAATCCAAATATTGAGTTCTGGATCTGAATCATAACCGGAAACTTTTAATTTGATTGATATAGTGTCCGGTTCAGTTCGAATCGAACCGTGGTCATCCCTACGTATATGCAATAATTTGTTGGAGAAGAAAAATAAATAAAATGTTTACTTTAAGGATAGAAATGTTCATTTAATATATTCGGGGGGAAAACAGCCACTTTTAGAATAATTGAAGGGGCTAATGTGCTTGCATGAATAATTCAGGGGGGAAAAAGTGCTATAAGTATATAACTCAGTGGAAAAAATGTCATTTTCCCTATATTATTATTATTGAAGAAGATAAAAAATATATATGGTGGATGCATGTGCATAGTAACAATAGTGGAAAAGATAACGGAAGTTATAACGGTAGGGTTATATTTGTCCAAAATATTGTATAGTACAACTTTTATAGCATAATGTAAAAAAAAAAAAAAAAAAAAACTTAACGGAAAAAATAAACATAAATGAATCATATATATATATATCCTTCATTCACACTTATTAATGTTTTTAGATTTAGACTAGTTATAAATTTGCGCAATGCGTAATTATTAAGTGCTTAATGAATAAAAATGAATGTCAAATTATTTGATCGAAATAAAAGTGAAATCACATTATAGATCTTATCAAGTAATAATTATTATATGATGCAACTCAACATTATATTCACCCATAAACTTAAAAATAAAAAAAAAATAAAAAATAAAAAATAAAAAAAGCATCAACCTTGATTGACAATGAACATGGTCTTTTATATATATATATATATATATATATATATATATATATATATATATATATATATATATTAATCGATTATAAGTGTTCGGTAACTACATAAAATTTGTTTTGATATATTGACAGATTTGATTAGTATACAACAACGATACATAATAATCCAATTAAATAACATAAGTTTATGTTATGATAATTAATAAATTAAAAATAAATTCAATTTATTTGTTTACTTTAATATAAACACATAAAATCAACAAATACTTACAAAATATAAGTAATAATGGTTGATGGAGCATGGGCTTGGGGTCAATTTTATTGGGAAAGTCTTGATTCAAGTGAGGGTTTATTTTTATTGCAAGGGAATGAAGAATGAAGTATGGAGCAAAATATTAATGGATGTGCCGCCAAGGGGTATTAAACACATGACCTCTACAAGGTAACACACACCCCAACCCACCAAGCCACTACTTATCTTGTGTACTAAAGGGCATGAATCTCTCCACATGTGCATGGGAGTGCACTAGAAGCAAAGTAGTTGAAGGGACACACCCAAGAATGAAGACTAGTCAATGTCGTACATTTGTCAACCATCCGCAATATTCTCTATATGTACTATATAAGGTACCATTAATTCATCTTAAGACATCATCCCTTAAATCATAATAACCTTCCTAGCTTGGTGGCTTTTGGTCCTAATCTCTAACCCATACACCATGGTTTAATTCCTAGCAACAACATTATTATTCCTAGACCACTATTTGAGCTACATCTTTTATTATTTATTTATTATTTGGGTCAGTATCTCGGGCCTACATACAGTTTATGGTGTACTCGGTCCCTCGTATGTGGAGAACTCTATGAAAAACACGGGTTCCTAGTTTCTACCCCTTTTACGCAATCAGAATCGAGATACACCGAAATGGCCTAGTCACAAAACGAGTATTCCCGGAACCTACAGAAAAGTCATACCGGGCAAGGCAGGGATCAGTTTGATTTGTGAGGGTCAGTTCCTTACCTAGGGAACGTGAGAGGTTTGACTGGTACTATAGCCAGTGGAGGAGAAGCTCTCGTCGGTAGAACCAACGGAGGGGGAGTCGGACCTAACATTCAATCTTTAGCCCAAAAGAATGCTAACATCGTTGGAGTGTGGGTTACCCATCAGTAGGGGGGGGGGGGCAGCCCGGCTTGTCCTGATAGTTGGTCGTTGACCCGGACACTAGAGCAAATCATCCCCTTACTCGACTCACCACTCCACGAGCTGGGAGGAAGGCACCGCTAAGGAAAGGGCCCAAATGTAAGGGGGCCGAGACCGCAACTAAGGCCAAAACTAGGGAACCATCATGGAGGGAGCCTGAACTCGTTCACGATGAGCGCATTGTTGGTCCCAAAATAGATGGAGTAAAAGTCTAGAGGGGGGAATAGACTTTTACAAACAATTGCGAATTTTGCTAAGCAATATAAAATCAAAACACTTAACAATTTGACAGTGTCTTGTGCACAGTGGAATTTAAAGATGTGTGAGATTGTGTATAGTGTAAATCACGGGTAGATCATGCATGCAATAATAAATAAAATAAAGCAATAATGAACACATGAATTTATTGTGGTTCGAAGGTGTATGTAATCCTTCTACTCCACTCTACTTCTATCTTTAGGAGAAATTCACTATATCCACCACTCCTTGGTTACAAGATACAATGAATTTTTTGATCTAGTGCTTTGATCACCAAACCCACACTAATCACACCAAACCAGTGCCTTCAGCACTGCAACCAGGATTTCACAACTCCGTGCTACTATCCTCTATCTACACTTCGGTAGAGAAACCACTTGTTTGAAAAACAAGATTTTTCTTTGCTTCCAACTTTAAGACTTCTTAATGGATTCTTCAATGAATAGCTAAGTCTCTCTTTTTAAGATGAAGATTTTGCACTATAGATTTTTCACTTAAATTTTTCGTATATAGAACTTGTTCATTTGCATAAAATCGATACTTGACTTCTTCATATTTTCATCTTTATATAGATGTTTGAGAATTTGTCCGGTGAAAAAAAAGACAATCTCAAATTTGAATTCTTGTCAACTGGTCTCGTAGCCTTTTCAGTCTAAACGAGAACTTTATAGACTTTATCTCACTTTTAATGTTCTGTGCAGTGAGACATTAAAAATGTTTAGTAGCAATCTGATCTTCAAGTCCACACAAATTAATCTTCATGCAACATAGTCTGATGAAGTTCACGCCACCTTGGTAAATTAATCTTCAATATTTGCTCCAACCTTGCCTCTTTCTAATTTGGACTAGTCTCAAACCTCATCTCCTTCTATAAATAGCTTGAGCTCAAATTCCACATTTTTTTAATTTAATCTCAAATTCCACATTTTTTTTTAATTCCTCATCTCTTGATTTAGGGGGTGTATTTTTAAAGTTCATAAAAATCTTTAAAACTCTATGAAAGTCATGATTGAATACACACCCCTAAGAAGACTCTACCTATTTAAACTAATCATGATCGTGCCAGGTAGAATCTTTAGAGTTCCATGATCAATTCTCATCAACACCCATAAATAATAATATTATTAAATTTAAATAAGCGATAATAATATTACAATTTTAGACATTATTAAGTCTTCAACATTGCCAAAAGAGTCATAGTTTTTTAACTTCTATCTGCACATTTATAATGCAGAGTCAAAAGAATGAAGATACACTAGTCAGGGGAAGAGGCATTTTAGCTGTGTAAAGCCTTGAAGACTATGCATTGGAGCAACAGTAGAGATTTCTGAAGTAGATCATTTAAAAGCCAGCAAAAATGATATTAACACACACACACACACACACACACACACATATATATATATATATATATTTATTTATTTATTTATTTATTTATTTATAAAGATATATCATATAACATATATCTTACATGTATCAAAAATTTTTATCATACCTTTTCACTCTAATACCAAATGATACTATATATATGTGTGTGGGCACGCGCACACGCATATCATTTGGTATCAGAGCCTGTCAAACTTCTAATCTCAAAATATTTCTCGTAATGAGATATGATAATGAATTTCAATATTATATATCTAGTCCCAAATCAGATGAAAAAATAGAGCACAATTATTGACAAATTATAATGTACACACATTTGAAAGTTTAAAATCTTTGAAGCTTTGTTGATCCTAGTCTACCAGATAGAGCTAATTCAATTGCTATACGGCAAGATCAATTAGTCTTGGACGGATTCACCAAAGTGTTGATTACTCTATTTTTGGACAATTAATTGGTGCTGAATCAACGAAGCAGACTTGGACATCTTAAATGTGTCGCAAAAAGGAGTTGACTAGGCACAGAAGTCCAAGTTACAAACGTTGAGAAAGTTGTACAATCGGTGTAAGATGACCTTTACAGAAAATGTATTTCTACAATCTTATTGATATGTTGAATAAGATGATATTATTCAGAGACACCATTGAAGATGGTACAGTGGTTGAAAAAGTTTTTTGAACTGTGCTGATGAAATATGACAATGTGATAGCTTCAATAACAAAGTCAGCAGATACCGAGCTCTTATTAGTTGTATAGCTAAAATGGATGATGCAAAACTCTAATACCAAATGCAAGATATATTTAATATTATATATATTACAAAAAGAAATTGAGGAAATGGATGTGTTGTTCAAGATGACTAAAACATCTATAGTTAGTATTGCAGACAAAAGAAAGTTTTGCCAATAGAAACATTAATATTTTACTAATTCTTTTTTAAGTCTAAGTAATTTACATATGGAGTATTGTCTATTGATAGTTTGATACATTAAAGAAAATAATTTCTGGCTAAGTCCTTTCCCTTCCTACAGTTGAAACTGCTCTTCAACATCAAAGGATGAGGGTAAAATGCTAAATCCCATTCTTTGAAGTACTCTCAAGTTGTAAAATGCAAAGTCCATTTTCTATGCTCCAAAGTACAACAGAGCCCTGACATCATAAAATTGCAATATTATAAGCATAATTGCATAGAACACAACTACATAAGATAGAATATTAAGTAATGTTAACTTGAATAGCAAAAACTTGAACATTTAGAATCATTGTATTTAAGTAAGTGATATATGCAAAATACAACTACACTTTTGGCACAAAAATATAAAGTTTAATTTTTAATTGAAATGAAACACATTCTTCAATTATGTCTATCTCTAACTTGGACATTTCAAGATAAAAGTACCAATTCTACTATTTAAACTTGAGTTTATTTTTTTCTTTTTGGAAAAATGGTCAAATAGACCCTTCAACTTTCGGTGAAAAAGCAATTAGTCCTCTAATTTTAAAAAGCTCCAATTACACACTTTAACTCTTTAAAATTATGCAATTAAACCTAATTTATTAGTAACAAACACGTTAAAAGTAAATAAAAATAAAAATAAAAAATTAATTATTTTTGGCTAGGCAAAACGTCGCGGCCTCCGACCTCCTTTTCAATTGGAAGGAGGTGACTTTGCCTCCAGCCTAGATTGTCGATAATTACTGGCTTAAACTAAGAAAGCAGGTGACTTTGCCTCCAGCCTAGATTGCCGATAACTGCTGGCTTAAACCAAAAAAGTCAATAAATGCTCACATTAGGAGTCGAGCTTGTAACCTTGTGGTTATCAAGTTCTTGAGTTTTTCTAAATTGAAGAAGAGTAGCAGGCTGGAATTTTCGATCATAATATGGTTTAAAAATTAAAACCAGTACTAAGCTGCACAAAGTGTGATAATTAATCAACCATAAACAGTTAAACACAGCATCATTGACAATTGAAGGCCTTATGGTGCAGATCTACAAGCAAATAGTATCCCACAACAGGAAGCTTCTCCCTTTGGTTGACTAGACTCTGTCTATTACATTCAAATTGCCCAAAGAGACAATTCAAATCTGGGAACAGTAACCATTCCAATTTAAACAAGAAGCATAAATCTTGAATGGCACAAAAGAGACATTTTCACTAATTAAATTAGCAGTAAAAGAGATGGAGTTTGAAACTGACCAAGCAATCAAGCTGCAATTCTGCAAAACTCATCGCAGATAGATGCATCCTCTAGGTACAAATGGGGCAGAGAACCAAGCCATTTTCGTTGCAATGAGAGCACCTCACCACTACAGTCCTACCATGCTTCTCCTCCATGTCTTCCCTCACCGCCATAACCATCTTACAGCTTCCATTACAGGTAAAGCACGGCAAGAATCGAGCCCCGCCGCAACCTTCACACACATACCCAGCTCTCAATTTAGGCAAACCTTGAAGCAAATCTCCCAACCCACCTTCTTCAGCAATCCTTAGGAGTTCCTCAGCTCCTCCTATGTATCTCCCTTTCACAAACACCCTGGGAGGTATTAGCTCACTGCTATCTTTCTCCTTCATTAGCTCCCTGAGCTCTTCCTTGAACCCTTTGTCCATTGAAATGTCCCTTTCGCAGAGCAGAACCCCAGCGCCCTCAATCACGGATCTAACTGCATTGCAAGCCTCGAAGGTTTTTCTTACGCCCCGCAACGTCGTCGTATATATCACCACCCTGGTTTCCCCATTTGGTGGGCAGAGCTCTTGGAACGCGTCCAGGGAAGTGTGCTTGGAATTGGATGATTTCTTAGCAAGGACGGCTTCGATTAAGCTCGGTGGCTTTAGAACCTCGCCGGAGGAGAGATTAGGGTTTGAATTTTCGTTTTTAAACAAGGGCTGAGAAAACCTGAAGGTATAATCCGCGGTGGAATTGGAAGAGGGTAGAGCGGCAAATCGGAAGCTCTGAGCAGCGCTATTGCTGGCCTGCTGCGCTGAATCGAGGCCGGACATGAGCTCCCAGGAGTTGATAACTTCAGACGGCGGTTCGGAGAGCTTGAGCGGTCGGGGCTCCGAGAGCAACGGGCTAGCAAAGAGCGAGCCAAGACTGAACCGTGTAGGCGGAATGGGCGTAACTGGCGCAGTGGTGCACACCGGAGGAGAAGATGATGATTTCTTCTCCTCCTCCTCCTCCTCGTCGGAGGACGACGCCGGCGCCGGCGCCGGCGGATCGAGTGTCAAGAGGCCATAAGTGGTGGAGGTGAGCGACACAATGTGGTGGCCGAGACCCGCCGAGCCGCCGATCTGCGCGAACTCCTCGTCGCGGCTGAGCAGAGTGGACGAAACGCAACCCATTTTCTTTCCAGTAAATGCGGAGAGTGAGAGAGATGAGTGTGAAGCGGAGAAAGGAAAAAGCTTTGGAATGAGCGATGAAGACGACGACTTTGGACAGCCGAATCTTTTTTTTTTTAATTTAAATTTTGAAATGGAGTTGGGTTTTTAGCGCTCAGAACTTTCTACAGTTTTTTTTTTCTTTTCTTTTCTACAGAGTATAATAATATTTTCAGATTTATCTAATTTAATCATGCTTTATTTTTAACTTTTATAATTATTTTCAAATTTGACACATCATCACTAATTCAATATATTCTTCTTGAATATGATGATGAAAAAGTATATCGCTACCCCTTCAACATTAATCAATTATCATTTTTAATATGATAGACATATTAAAGTACAACGGTAAACATTTATGTTCTGATTGAATTTATCTAAATGCATTGAATGAAGATTCAATGAAGTAAAAAAAAAAAAAATGGTAACAAAGAAACATGCTTAAATGTAGTAAATATAAACTATTATGAAGGTGATGCGCAAAAAATGGAGTTCGATTATTAGTTGAAAATTTAATATTAAAATGTCGGACTAAATATGAAATTAATTCCTTAATAACAATATTTAATATTCCATACATTAATTTTTTAAGTGGTATTCTTTGATTTTTATGTATAAATATATGTTTTTTTAAATATTCATAATTTTGTATAAGGTAATATATATTTTATATTTTTTCAAACTTTTTCAATTCAAAAAATCAATGCTCCTACCACCGAGATTTTATCTTATGACGATTCATTTGAAATTGTAACAAATGTGTCATCAGAGTATATACTAAACTAGTTTTTTTTTTTTTTTTTTTTTTTGAAAATATATACTAAACTAGTTGGTTAGGTATAAATATATGTTATTTCAACTTCTTATTTAAATAATTTTTTATAATAAAGTGATAAATATTTATTAAATTGGATATTTTTACAAAATATTTTACAGTATATCTCAGTGTAGTAAAGAGGAAAGAGGAGTGTGATATAATAATAATATATGTGGTGTACAGTGTACTGCAGTTGGGACTTAAATACTTAATTAGTTGGACAGAATTTAATTAGTTTGTCGTTTTGGTAACACCCACATGATTTGTGTTACAGCTCCGACAAGCCAAGTTATACGTGACATTGCATTATTCATGCTCCGCCCTGTTGGAATACCATGCATGATGCACCAAGCCCCGCGCCGCATTACCTGCTACGATACAAAATTACAAAATGATTAACGCATTGCATAAGTATATTTTTTGGAAAAAAATCAAATACGCTCTTGAATTGTATACAATAGATTAATTAGATTCATAAATTTTTTAAAATATAATTAAAATTTTTGAAATGATCACTTTGATGCATTTAGACTCAATAACTAGTTATATACATGAAATAAACCGGTTAATATGGATTTCGACAAAAATAAAAAGGGGCAACCGATGAACAGTTGTCGATCGCCATTGTCAACGAAGAAGGCGACTATGCCAGTCACCTTCTTCTGCAAGAAGGCGACCCACGTGGGTTGCCTTCCTCTTCAAGAAGGCAATTGGACTAGTCGCCTTCTTTGTCAATCGAAAGAAGGCACCCGGTCCAGTTAATCGGTAATCGACTTGTGGCGGTGATGTTGTTATTGACGGCAGTAAATGACAACCGGTCAACAACGGTAATTTTACCAGTAACATGCTGGTTACCGGTAAATTGGATTTATTTGACCGATTTTAATAAGTTTGAGGGTTTAATTGTACGTGTTAAAAGTTCAAGGGCCTAATTGACATGTTGTATAAAGTTTATGGGTCTATTTGACTATTTTCTCTATATATTTTTAAAAAGTAGAATTATAATGTTTCATCGATACAAATTTCGTGATAAAATCATAAATATATCTTTTAAAAGTACAATTATAATGTTTCATATGGACGTATGTATAGAGTGACGAGGAAAACTCCCAACTATTACTCAACGTCACTTCCGCTGAGAATCGAATTTGTAACCTTATGGTTACAATTTATAAGTCAACAGTATGACCAGCAACTTACAAATCAACAGTTTGACCAACTTAGATGGAATTGACCCATATTATTTTATCAATTGGTAACTTAAGTATAACAATATTTTGTTTATAAAAAAAAAAAAGTATAACAATATTTAATTAAATGAATTATTTCGAATTCAAAGTTTGAAGGTATCTTGTTCTACCCTAATATTTCTCTATTAAAAATGGGCCATTCACTTTAAGTATGATAGCAGTGACTGGAAATTAAGTTTAAAAACAACGTAAGCCTAAGTTGGCTATTAGTAACACACAAATTATTTAAAAATTTGCACCTTATTAACATCATTTTTAAAGTATAACAACATATCAAAATACCCACTTTATAAATTAAAAATTCTTAATTAAACTCCCAAAAAATATTTTAGCATATAATAATAACCAGAGAAGGGAATCTATTTTTAGATATAAAAAAAAAAAAAAAATCATGCCTCTTTTTTTTTTTTTTTTTTGAAACATTTATGCCTCTTATTCTTATGTCATTTTGTCAAACAAGAAAATAGAGAAAACCTTTTCGTCACATAACAATGTTTTCTTTTGCCTCAATTGGATCTTTTTTTTTTTTGAAAGTAAACTGCTGTATATATATATCAATCAAAGCCGAAATAAAGGAAGGAGGGTTATCCTCCCACAACATAGAGTTTGCCTGCGTAGAGGCTGACTGAGCTAACGAATGAGCTAAAATATTTAAAGAACGAGGAATATAAACAACAGAACAGGAAATAAAAAGATTCATCAAATCCCGACATGCTGAAACAGCTAAACCATCATAAGTGCGAAACTCAGTCGCTGAATTACCAAGTGCGTGACATAGATTCGAACAATCTGACCGTAGCTCCACCTTCGTGACTCCACGTTCCCTAAGCCAGGATAGGGCCTCCTTACATGCATACGCCTCCGCCATAAATGGTCCCTGACATAGCGGTAAAGGACCTTTTTGGCTGCCAAAAAATTTCCATTCGCATCCTGGAGTAAAATGCCGTACGCCCCCCTTCGCGTTGTGGCCGAATAAGCTGCGTCAAGGGAGCAGCGAAGCTGCGTCTCGGACTGCCCAGTGATGGCAGTAGTTCGCCGTGTCTCGGACTGCCCACTGACGGCAGTGGCAGCATGAGACGGCTGCTGCCTCTCCATGCGGCTCGTAGCCGAACACCACGCCGACAAAGTAGCCATTGCCCGTTCGAACACAAGCCGTGGTCTACCCACTTTATGCTCCCACACCGCCGTATTCCGTTGCATCCAAATATTGTACATAATGGCCACCATAGAAATAAATTGTTTCGCATCAACATTTCGTAGCAATAATTCAAGCCACACACCAAAGTCATCATCCACCGTACTCTGCACGTCAAAACCCGAAATATTCCACACACATTTAGAAAATTCACATTGTACTAATGAATGTAAAATATTTTCAGAGGTTAGGACACACAAAGGGCATGCTAATGGGACATCTACCCTCCTATTATAAAGGTTCATAGTGGTGGGTAATACTCCTCTCACAGCTCTCCACAAGAAAACTTTCCACTTCGGGGGTACCTTTAGGTTCCAAATTTTATTCCAAGATGTGAAACCATTTGGGGGTACAGAAATGGTTCCCATTAAATTACGATAGGCAGCTTTTACCGTATAAATTCCTTTGGGGTCCCCATGCCAATACCACATATCATCATAGGCCGGACTAATTGGAACAGCCGCAATCTGCTCTGCCTCCACTGCAGGAAATAGCTCATTAAGCAAAGGTATGTCCCAGGTAGCTGATGCCGGATCAATTAACCCAGAAACTTTGACTTCCCCAAGGTGGGGAGGTTTCTCTGACATAATTCTTGGCTCAGATTCACACGACAACCACAGGTCACCCCAAACCAAAGTGGAGTCCCCATTTCCAATCCTCCGCCTAATATTTTGGATAATGAGTCCTTGGGCAGCCATTATACTTCTCCATGGGAAACTTGGATTATTTCCAACTGAGGCATTCAAAAAATCTGACTTTGGGTAATACCTTGCCTTATATATTCTTGCCACGAGAGAATGGGGATCTGTCAAAAATCTCCAGCCCTGCTTACCCAGCATAGCCACATTAAAAGCTCTCAAATCCTTAAAACCTAGGCCCCCATATTTCTTTGGTACACTCATTTTATCCCAGGCGAGCCAATGTATTCCTCCCCCATCCCTCCCATTGCGCCACCAGAATCTATTCATAACACGCTCCAGGTTCTTGCATAGTGAGTCAGGTAACAAAAACACACTCATAGTAAACGTTGGCATTGCCTGTGCCACCGATTTGAGTAGAATTTCTTTACCTGCCCTAGACAAAAGTTTCTTATTCCAGGAGCCAATTCTCTGTCTCACCTTATCCTCCACATAAGCAAACACCGCCCGTTTATTCCTCCCCACAAATGCTGGCAGCCCCAAATATTTTCCAAAATTTTGTGCTTGATGAACCCCAAATTATGGCAGCCACCAAATTTCTTTCAACCTGTGAGTGTTCCTACTAAAGCAAATATTTGACTTATTATAATTAATAGTCTGACCAGAAAGCTTCTCATAATCAGTAAGACACCGTTTAACTGCCTGTGCCTCACCAACATTTGCCTTAAAGAATAGGAGGCTGTCATCCGCAAACAAAAGATGTGAGAGAGCAGGTGCTCCTCTCGCCACCCTTAAACCATGTACATCACCTCTATCCTGAGCCTGTTGTAACAACAATGATAACCCCTCCGCACAGATAAGAAACAAGTATGGGGACAAAGGATCCCCCTGACGGAGCCCGCGAGATGGGGTTAACTGTCCTCCAGACACACCATTAATCATAATATTATACGAAACAGTAGTGACACACTCCATAATTAGATTTACCCATCCCACCTGGAAGCCTAAAGCCAACATCATGTTTCTGAAAAATGCCCATTCCATCTTGTCATAGGCTTTTGCCATATCCAACTTCAAAGCTCCCCACCCCACCTTACCCAACTGCTTCCTATTAAGAAAATGTCCAACCTCGGCAGCTATCAAGATATTATCAGTAATCAACCT